TCATGGAGATGGAGTGCGTTTTGGAAGCGGATATATATATATATATATATATATTTCCAAGGAATGTGTAATTTCAAAAGAATGACAAGTTAATATGATAGGATCACCATAGTTCCGATCATCATAGGCATAACTGGCATCGTCCTGAAAGACCTCAAAGGACATGTCAGGAAGCTGGAGTGTGAAATCTCACTCGATATCCTCCAGCGTACAGCAATCTTGGGCACGGCCAGCATCCTTCACCATGTCCTTCAGAATTAAGACGAGTATGAGGTCTGGGATGTGGTTCATCCCCCCTCATATCTCCAATACCGGCAGGTGCCGTGGAAGGATTTATTTAATTATATATATACATATACATACACACAGGGTGGGCCAGAAAAAGTTCAGCTTTTTCATTCTGCTATCACATTATTGCTAATTAAGTTCCTGCAATTAAGCCTTTGATTAGAATGACTAAATTGTAATTGGAAGCACCATGTTTTGTGAAAATTAGTCCATAATTTTTGCACAGAGACAATTTACGGTGAGAGGTGAAAAATCATCGCTGTGCAATCAAGAGGATTTTTTTTTTCTTCTCTTCTATGCCAAAGGTAGCATAAGGCTTACTAAGGTCTAGTCCTGCAATGTGGTTTCACTAATGACAGCCACTGGGAGCTATCAGTATTGATATTGGCCGATGCCAAGACACTTGGATTGGTATCAGTATCAGCTAATCTTGGATCGGTGCATCCCTATTTAGAAGACCATTGTATCGTGGGTCCTTCAATGGTGCAGGAGGTCTCTGTTGAGGGTGAGAAAGACAAACTCAAATATGCACAAGTTCACCTCAGGACTTTCGAATCACATCAGTTGTTGCTCTGGATAATTAGGACATCAATAGTCATTGAGCTTTTGGTGTGATCTTAGATAATTTGACTTGTGGGGCTGGGCAATTTCATGTTTCTGAGTGTCAGACTTTACTGTGCTGCATCCAACCCATCAAATTATCAGACTGCCTGCCACTGGCAATAAAATTTCTTTGGCACAACCCTCTCAGATCAGACCAGGAGAATTGATGGACCATTGTCATTAAACCAGACTTTGTTCTTTTGTCACAGACCATGTTGCATAAGTCTCAGAAGCCCCCACCTGTCCTGGAGCCCCCAGTCAGCAAACCATTCTCTCGGCCTCAAGTTGATTTGGGGGCTCCAGGAGGTCCTCTTCAGCCACCTGGACCTGAATTTGGACTCAGTGGTCCTGGTCAGCAGAGGCCATTTAGACCACAAAGAGATGATGATTTTGGACCCTCCAGGGGAATGATGGGGGATCCCATGGGGCCACCTGGGTCTCGAGGACCACCTGGACCTGCACCATTCCGGTCAGGACCTCCTTCTAGCTCGTTGGGTAATCACCCCCCCATGGGATTCAATGACAGTAAGTCCCTGCTTTCTCACTTTTGTTTCTAAAAGTGCACTGTATAGTTGATGCTAGTTCTTTTTACTGTTATATAGAATCACTTATCCAGATATTTTTTCATAATAACCATATCCCTCTTTCTATATCTCTTCTTTCTATGAGAAGGTGCTTCAAAGATTTTCATTTCTTTATTTTCTAGTGCAAGACATGGATTTGAGACAGAGGGGAAGAGCCAGACCTGGACCACCAGGCTCTGGTAAGTTTATGTTCTGATTTGAAACTTCTGGCAGAAAAATAGAAATCTACCTCTAACTCTGTGTGAATTCAACATGGGACTCTCTATTATAGGAGACATGGATATGCGAGGTCCACCAAGAGGTGGAGATATGGATTTGAGGCAAATGCCAGGTGGACCTGGACCAGGCCCAAGAGCGACCATGATGGGAGATGTCACTGCCAGTGGCCCTAGAGATCCTCGGCTTGGTGGACCTCCTTCTCGACCCCCTGGAATGGATTTTGACAGGTACCCCTAATCCTGCATGTCAGTAAAATCTTTACCTTATTGTCTTGTGAGTGAAATGAGTCTCTATTTGCACAGGTTCAGTGGAGATAAAATACCGCCGCATGATCGATTTGCAGGATCAGCTGGCAATGATAGGTAATGTTTCACATTCCGAAATGAAAGTCAGGCTATGTTCTCTCAATCCATTGGGTTTTTCATTTGACATATTCTAATTGTGATATCTGATGTAGGGACATGCGAGATGGTCGGTATGATCCTCGTTTGGAGAGGGGGGGAGGAGTGATGGAAGGGAATCGGCCACCAGTGTCTGCTGGTGGAGGAATACCTGGCCTTGGACCCATGCCTAAGTTCTCTCTTCCTTCAGGTGCAGCTCCTGCTGCTGGACAGTCCCCTGATCAAGAAAAGGTCTGCTTTCCTTGTTTCATTCTTCCTTAATATGTAATCTCTTCAAGAGGTTCAATTAATCATCATTCACTTATGAAAGAATATTGTGTGACTATATATTTTTGCCCTGTGAGCCTCAAGTAATATTACTGTCAAACTTTTGCCTACTATCAATGTAATTTATTGCTTCTGGAAAGATTTTCCAAAGCTCTATCATGCGATAAGTATATTTGGTATGGTACAATATATATGTGCCCTCCCCTCTTGTATAAATCTCACCCCTTGTAACCTTGTATCTGATGCCCAAGTAATCTCCGACCCTGGGAAACTTAATTTGGCCCAAGTTTTTTAGAACATTTTCTGGATTTGGCCTTCACCACTATGCTTCTTTAACATCCTAAATCTGGAGATGGGAGAGCTATGTTTTAAGTGCATGAATTAATTGGTTTCAAACCTGGGTCCCCTGCCTTGAGAGGCAATTTCAATACCAACTGAGCCTCTCACTTGCCCTCCAGATCATGGAGATCTTTATGGAAGTTTCCAGAGTTCTGTCCTGGGCAACAAGTCACAAAGGCTCATATTGTCAATATGATGCTGCATTTGGCATTGCAATAACATTTCCCTTGCTTTAGCCAACCACATGGCCAGCTGCAATGACCCACTTGTGTCAATCCTGTGACTTGCAGAGAAAGTTTGAAGTTCAAGATCCTTCAAAGTTGTCCCATCTGGTGCTCTTAGTATACTCATGATCATCAAATTCATAACCTTTTCTCAGCAGAGAAATGGATCACACTCTAATTCATTGATTTCAATAGTCCGTGGCTGTAAAGAAAGGAGGGCCTGTGAAGAAAGCCAAAATCCATCTGTTGGGAATAGTTAGGTGAGATCCTCTACCAAAAAGCAAGGAAACAAAATTTTTGTTGGGCCTAAGAATTACCTGTGAATGATGAACCTAGAAAAATTTTAGGTGCATTGGACATGTTGTGTATGGTATGCTTGCATAGATTAATGGAAAACAAAAACTCAGAAACCAAAACCATGGCATACAAAACAGAGTAAGAATCTGGAGGAATTACTCTGTTAGAAGCTTGGAATCATGGCTTTAGGCAATGAGTAGTTCAAGAGTAAAGGTTTCATTTGGGATGTGAAGAAGCATTTTTTCTATATTGGCATCTCAAGCTGAAGTCAAACATGCCTCCTACCACCACCTCCCCCCCCACCCCCATCTAAGAACGTGTGCATTCTTCTGATCAATTTATCTTTTTAGGAATCTGTCATTCTACTGTCTAGTTATCTCCAAGCAACCTGGCAACCATTTTCTTGTGTTGTCCATTTAGGAATCGACTTCTTAAAGCTATCTATGGATATATCATCTGCTACATCTTTATTTTATTTAGTTTTAATGAATTTCTTTATCTCGCATTGCTGGGATGCATGCAGAAAGTGTTTATGCACATATGCCCTTTTTCCATATCCGCACTGCTGAAACTTTTTCCAAGAAGTCTTTCACCACTTCTTTCTAGTTAAAAATAATAATTAATCAATAAATGCATCTTCAGATTTCAAATAAACTCTTCCTTGAAAAATAGCAATGAAAATGTGAATAGTCAGAACACTTTTCATTCACAAATTACTCAGCAGTGATCTATTAATAATGTATTCATCATCTGAATCTTCAACTATTTCATGGATATCTCCAGCTTCTCACATCCTTCCAGAGGTTTGAATGACTCCACCTCTTTCTTTCCCTGTCTTCATGTCTGGTTTCTTCCTCATTTTCACTTTCAGTTTAAAAAGACTAAATAATTCCACCAAAATCATTCAGCATGCAAGTGATAATGGAATATTCATGGTGGCAGCCATATTGAAATTGCCAGGCAGTTGGGCTACTATTTAGTGAGAGCATAGGAAAATCTGCTTCTCCTTTGCTGAATACACATCTTAACTACTAGCTGACCACCCCTATCCTATGACTAGTCACCTAAAGCAGCACATGGACACTGAAATGGAAAAAGGGTGTATGGGCACATACACCCAGAGTGTATGTGCCAGAGAACTCCTCAACTATTCTCTTCAAAACTTGCCTCATTAACCCTCATCCGGGCAAGCTTTTTTACAACCTATTCCGGGCAAGGTGAGTCTGTCAGACTCATGTAAAATAAGGCCATTTGCTGCGGTTACGGTATGTATTCTTATAAATAACAATACTGTAACTAAAATAATACAGACAATTTATTCAATGGTCCTGATAGTTTAAAAAAATAATGACAGTAATAGACCGAAATATGTCGTAGTGAGTCCAGCGGACTCACCTTGCCCGGATTAGGGTTAACAGCACAACCTTCCTTTTGCAGCTGTGACATAACACTGGGCTGTCAAGAACACTGCACCAGGAATGCAGCCATAAAAAAATAAACATTTGTGTACAGATGTGTATTGAAATTGGAGTTGCAGAAAGCATGGAGAAGCTGAATTTCTTACTGAAGTTTAAATGATTGCTTCTTTTTTTCTAAAAGACTTTTAGGATATAAAATTTAGAGTATTTTTTGTGGTATTAAAAGAATTGTTATCCTTGCATTTCTACAGCAAGTGTTGTTAAGTGGATACAATATTTTTACATCATCTGGTGCATTGCTTCATAATTTGATATACAAGAAAAAAAAAACTTATCTCAATATATGGCAAGCATATAACTGCCATTTATGGTATTTCCATGGCACTAAAAATACTGAAATGGTCTTACCTGAAGCACACAAATGAAAGCAAAAAACTGACATAAATTGAATGGATAACTATTTGTAACAATAATTTTCAAATGCAGACAGGAGCTTGTTAAAATTTTTATTTTGTATTTTTTATGCATTTTTTTTTGTTTTGAATTGAAATACTACACTAGAGATTTACCAGAGATTTTTCAAGTAATTTTGAAATGGTCAGTTTTTTTTACCAGAAAATTTTTTGCTAACCCTGCTGCAAACTTACCTCATCACTGTTACTTGAAGGAAAAGTGAGGCCTGAATGAGAATCACTTCTCAGGAAGGATGCAGTACATGTGTAAGAATACCTTTTGTCTATTCCAGCAATTTGGCATCCTGAAGTCTTGTTTCTGTGCCTTTTATGTTGTGATCTCACATGATCCTTGCTTTTTTTGTAGCAAGGGGTTTTTCCACTTTTCTTGTATCAAGTTGTATTTGAAAGTGTCATTCTGCACCATGATTTATTAGGCCCTATAATGGTTTATAAAGTTATTACTGTACATGATTGACATGGACTCTTGTTCCCTCCCACAGGCTGCTCTGATCATGCAAGTTTTGCAGCTGAGTGATGAGCAAATTGCCCTTCTGCCACAAGAACAACGGCATAGCATCATGGTACTCAAGAGTCAAATTGCAAAGAGTGCGAATCCATAGATCACTTAATCTCTCACATGTGAAACTTCTGAATTCTGTGGACCTCTTTTTTTTCTCCGATTTTGTGTACCTTGTCTTATGTGACTGTTCAAGTCAAGGGTGAGGATGGTGAATAAACGATCACAAGAACCTTCTTTGCAATATCGGGTAATTATTGAGTGTTGGTCTTCAGACTGTTTCAAGTCCCCGGGAACGATGAAAATTAATGTTTCCTTTAGTTTTATTGAACTCATCAGATCCCCACCATCTCTCTGCATCAGATACTTCCGTGTCTGCAGTGCCATCTCGATGTGAAGCAAGACCTACAAGGTGAGGCAAACAAAAATTAAGCCAGTGAAAAATTAATAATATAGGAAAACTAGTAGTAATAGTTGAATGCGGTTTCCTGCAATAAAGTGAGAAAGGAATTTACACGAATACCTGCCAATTTTCGTCATTGTCGGATTGGTGAAACGATTGCAGTACGTCGACCCGTGTTTCGACCGTTCCCTTCAGTAGCTCCTTCAGAGCATTGATTTCAGACAGAATGTGGGGGTTATTCATAGGTTTTTCCCGGAAATAAATACTCGAGGAGCTACAGAAGCGATTCGTGGAAGAGTGGGATAATTTTTCTCAAGATATGACGACAATGCAATAGATTGGAGAGCGACGTAGACTCCGTGCTTGCGTTCGAGCGGGTGGCAGCAGGGCTCCGGTATGGAGCATGGAACTATTCAGTGATGTTAGAGGAACAAAATGTCGGAACTGAACGAAATTGATAACTCCTAAAAACTGAATAATTTTGTTCCGTTACAAGTACCCTAGCCATTTTTCCCTTTGCAATCGCAATTTTTTAAGGCGTATGTATCATGGGTTTGAAATTAATCAGTTTTGTTTGTGCTAAATTTCCCAGTGGAACGAAACGGAACTGAAATATTTCCTGGAACGAAATTAATCATCGTTGAACAGAACAGAATCTGGAATACATGAGGATCGGGTGGTACGGAACGGAATGCGGAACGAAAAAATATATATATTCCTTTCCGAAACCCAGGGTGGCAGTCATTTTCAACATCATTTTTTATAGGAGTACTCCCAACGTACCACCCATCTCACCTTGGCCAATATGTGCAAAATGTATATCTTTTTCTATTGCAGGAAACAACATTAATTTATGAACGGTTGTTTTCCTACAGCATTGCTTTTTCACTGGCTTCCTTTTTTTTAATATCTTGTGTGCTAGTTGTCAATTTACTGAGGAGCAACGATTGGTATCAGCTGTGCCAGTCCTCCCTAAACTGCTCATCACTCTCCACTTGAGATACTTTTCCCGCATTATCTAACCAATTTCATCGAGAACATTGACCATCCATCATCAATCCAGTCGAGCCTGCTTTATTCAGCATCCCTGATTCTCTCGTTTGGACACGTCTGCCGCATGCCCCCTGAGAGGCTCCCAAGAGGAGTCTTCCAGGCCAAGATGACCGACAAAAGACCTGTCGGTAGATCCCATACAAGGTGGAGTAATTACGTCGCTCGGCTTTGTCACGAGAGGCTCGGCATCCCACCAGCTGAGCTCGAATCTGTTGCCCAGGTTCGAGATCACTGGAGGACGCTCCTGGGGATGCTCGAACCGCCGCGACCCCATTAAATTGGGAAAAGCGGCCAAGAAAATGTTTGTATGATTCTCTCCATGAGATGCGACTTCAAGAGGCGCTACAGCTGACCTTCATCGTTTACTTCTGAATGCTGTGGTTTTTTCGCTTGACTCCAATCTGTCCGAAGTGAAGGCCATTGTGTTAGTTATGGGTGGGAAGGACCTTACCAATCTAAGTTCTAGTGCTGTTTATGATGATTTTGAACATGTGGGCTCGTGATCATGTCATGCACTCAGGCTTGGGCTCACTTCCCTTCACTCACCCTTCCCTCTCTTCGCCCCCACCCCTTGCAGCAGGGCATAAAAGGACTGCCTGACTCGCCTGGCCGACTTGCTTCATACTGCCTGTCTGACTGACTCGTTCACTCCTAGAGGGCCTTCTTCCGCTACCTCTATTCACTCTACTGTCATTCCACTGTCGTACCTCTTCTCGCCAATCGTGCTCTCTCTTCCACTTTCCAATTCTTCAGGTCTGCGAATCCCCCCCCCCCCTCTACTCATGTTTCTATTTGAAAATAAGTATTATTCTTGTTTAACTGCTGCCACTCCTTTTATTGTGACGATCACCATTCCGTGACTCCCTTTTTCTAAAGAAACGTTCACCTTCATCCGTAGATTATTAAAAGCCATAAAACGCTCATTCGCTATTTCTTTTCATCACTAATTTTTTTTTTGCTTTCGCTTCCCCGTCGCACTTGGATATTCTGAAATCAGCTCCAGTCAGGTAGAGGGGGGGAGATCTTGTTCACATGATGTCAGCAAGCCGTCCAAGTTCAAAATCCCAATTGGAATTTTCCTACTGATCCGTAGCTGTAAATTCAGGCCCACTCCAGCTGGGAAACTGCCGGGAAAATCTGGATCCTGGATGGTTTACAACTAGTTTTGTTTGATGTTTCCAGCGAGGATTTTTATTTGGGGTTCCAATATGAAAGCAAGCGCAGCTGGCCACTCGAACCAGTATTACCACCTCTCTGGCTGTACAACGGCCGTTTGTCCCTCTGCCTCGTGTTCCTCATCTTCAGCCATACAATGAGCAACTCGCGCTCTTCGGACCCACCAGTAGCAGCGATGTGTTTACCTCCTCAATTGTTTGTTCATTATGTTCATAACTTTAGATTCCTAACTTTATTTTCACAATAGCCCAAAGCAACCTTTGTCTGTTACGGAGGGCAGTGACAGGGTTTGCACCGTCATTTCCTATAAGAATACTGCAACCCAGGAAAAAAATCGCAATTTAAAATTTCGCGATTTTGAGATATGCTTCATATTCGCAGAGGAAAATTTTCGCGATTTATTCCATTCAACAAATTCGGAACTGCCGTTTTCACTATGCCCTCTGGGGTAGAAAAACGGTTTTATGCTAGGAATTGAGGAATTTTTGTGCAATAATAACAAAAAAGGGCACAATTTGACCAATAATGGAGGAAATAGAAGGGAAAATCACCACATGCACCGCCTAATTACGAATGGGTATCTATACGTTGTTTTTATACTGAGTATCAATTTTCGACAATTTCCTGGAGACACGAACTTGTGTTGCTGTGAAGAAAACTAAATTTGTGTTCTTCTGCCTCGCGCGAAAATCGCGAACGTTTTTCCCCGCGGCATTTTTCCAGATTACAGTACTTACAGGAATCGGAGTGCAGAATAAATTTCATTGCATGCATTTCCAAATTGCCTGAACATGACAATAGCTTTCACAGGTGGGAAGAGAATCTCACCCAAAATTTGCCTTCGTTCGCTTTCATCACTTCTCTTCTAATTCATATCACGAAGGGAACATCATGAGTCGCTTAAAGGAAGATGGGTTTTAAAAATAATAATAATAAATTGGCCGTAGAACCAAATCCATCTCCCACGTTCACTTAAGACGTTCCCTTCGATGGTCCCTTTAAACACACGGAGGACTAACTGGTCTCTTCATCTCTTCAGAAAGAAAGCAATGCTGACATAAAAGCACCCACCGGAAGAGAGAGAATCATACGTGTTCTGATGTGAAAATCATTCGTCAGAAATAGAAGAGAGCATAGGAAGAAGAAGGCCGAAGAAGAATCGTTTCACTCAAACGATGCAAAAAAAAAGAACTGAGTCATCAAAGATCTCCAATAAATATTCCAGTGATTAAGAAATCTGTCCTCGAACGAGTACTCCTAAGTAATTGGGCATACTCAAATCGAAGTTCCGACTCAAGAAATGGTCGATTGAAGATCTCAAACGTTCAATGCCACCAAAGATGGGCGAAGACTGATGACTTTATCAGACCATGCCTTGCATTTTCTTTGCCGTCTCTGTTTTACCTTATAATTTTGGGTAGCCGTCTCTCGTGGGAACCAGATATTCTGCGTGATATAGGTCAGCCGATGAAATTCCATGGGCCATCTTGCCAGAACAGGAGAGTGTCTTGTATCAGCTATGATTAGATGGAAAGCGACTTCAGGCTTTACAACGATTCGCAAAAAAAGAATTTCTGGACCGCACAAACATCATGCAAAGTTCCAATTGTCAGAGGAATTATAAAATACTCGAAGCGACAAGTTGCTTTGACTTTGACCGGAACATCACAACGAATGTGTTTCAGATGATTGAGAGTGTTTCATCCTCGTGCACATTTGAACAGTGCCCATCGAATATAAAGGTCATCCCTCGACCAGTTCGAGAAATGTGGTCGGAAAATGTGTGCTCCTTAGATGCCATAAAGGTGGATCTCGATTCACATCGACACGCTTATGCTTGCAAGAAGTTCACAAGCTGCCCTTCTGAATGTCACCGACTTAATGGGCTGAAAAAGTAATCAATTGCGTCCATCTAGACGATAAAGGATCTCAGCAAGCGAGATCCTTTGGACCTCTCATGTCTTTAAATATACTTATTGCATCAGGGATATCTTTGATATCTTGCGGTGTGGCATTTCTTGCGAGAGACGAATCTCGTTTCTTGCTACTCTTGATGCAGGCAGGAGTTATGAATTGGACCTGCGAAGTTATCGGAGAGATTTCAAAACTTTTTGATACCAACCTCGAGCAGACTCGAATTGGGGACTCCTTCTATCATTACTTTCTGGGTTGTTTCGTTTAAAAGGCCACAGAATCAACGTTGGATCCAGCATGGAGATCTGAGATTCTTGAGGTGATCCGCCAGAGACGGTATCAAAAATGGCGCTGAAATCTGCTAAGAGGCATCTCACATCGTTTTCGTCCAAATCTCTCTGCATTTGCCTTTTTCTGTTCTTTCCCTTGACGACGTCGGTCGTTACTTTGTAGCACTTGATCATAAATGCACTTGATCAATCGATCATAAATGAAGATGTCACGACTGTCCATCGATCGAAGCGAGAAAGTTAAAAATCGTCTGTCGGCATCTCTTCAAAGCAAATACCCTCACATGACTCTCACACCCATGCATTGGCTATTAGGACCTTCAGAATCTTATTGCCTTAAAATGAGGGGGTAGGGGAATTTTCACATTTCCCATTCCAAAGAAAGCTATACTCTCAGATGAGGACATTTG